TTCAGCTCAAGGCGAGCGCTCTACCACTTGAGCTACAGCGCCACTTCCGGTTTTCTGGTGGTTTATTGGAGATAGGAGTCTCACAGTCTCTCCTGCCCGGGCTGGCTTTGAACCTCGATCCTCAGATCTCAGCCTCCTGAGGAGCTAGGATTACAGGCATGAGCCACCAGTGCCCGGCTTCAATGGCAATTTCTAACACTGAGTTTTATAATGTAATTCAATCTCTATAAAAGCAAGTTACTTTAACATTTCATGTAATAGTCAGTATATATGCACTAGATATCACTATATATGTGCCTTACCCAAAGACAGTATTTTTGCATAAAACTACAAGTAACCTACATTCATATTTATATGGGCATGAAAAACATCTTAGCATGCAAAATGTTTACTGTTCTCATGTGTTTAAAAGTAATTTTTGTTGTTAAAATTCCTTGATTATAAAATAAACTCAAGATTCACTGAATGTGTATTACTTGCCTAGAAATATATGAAAACTAGAGTATCTTCATGACTAGTTAGAAAATAAAGGCATCAATCACAATATTTGTCTTTTTCTTTGTTTTGTTTTTTACCTTATTTGGCGATTTCAAAGGTGAGATGGCTATTTTATTTGGTGTCTGTGTTGTAGAATTTATAGTTGATCCAATAACACCACTCTCAGGTATTGTTATAGTCTTTGATGGAGTTCCAGGAGTAGATTGTGAAAGAACTCTACCTGAAAATGAGAAGCAGTACATCAGTTTGAATTTTTTAAATAATGGTATAAAAAACCAACAACAAAAAAAGTGATGATGATCTACACCACAGTACTTCAATGTGTGTTCATCATTTCTTAGGTATCAACATGAGACCTTAAACATTGAAGCAAGTCCCTAAAGAGCTGTGGTAAACCTAGACAGAAAGAAACAAAGCAAAGCTGTTTAGGAATATTTAATATCTGTTTATTGGGACAATTAAGCATGTGCCCTGATGACACAGTTTCTGAAAGTCAGTTGTAAAAGTTCAGTCTCTGTATTCTACAATGCTTTGACTGTCTATCTGAACTTAAATCATGAAAGGAAAAATTAAATCCTCACTTATGAAATAGCTATTAGATAGACCAACCTGAATATTGTCAGGTTACATACAGTCTGATTTCAGATTGCCAAAAGGGAGAAGGAAGAAAAAAACAAAACAAACAAACAAAAAACCCCTACAATTTCTTCTACCTATTCTGACCAGATTGTGTTCCCTACTGGACAATAACACTTCAGGTTTAACACCGAAAAACTGTAGTGTTAGTAGAAATGGCCTAGAGAATTAAAAGTCATGTTACAATAAGGCAAAAAATCAGGACATTTTATGCTAGGCAAGAACAGAATCTCCAAATTCTTGAAAGACTATATAACAGTTATTATGCTACTCAACAAATATTTTGTTTCTTCCCTACTCCAGGCACATGGTAGAACTTCCTATCCAACCCTCATTCCTCCTGTGTAGTTAAGAGTATATGACTATTTGTCGCTAGTGAGTTTTAAGTAAGTGATATGTCATTTCTGGGCCGGAATATTAACTTCTAAGCAAGGCTTCCCAATGTACTTCTCCTTTGCCACAAAGGAAGATGCTGGCTCCTTTGTTAACCATGATGAGAACAGTCTCCCTTTAAATCCGCCACAGACACAAATACTCATGAAGCATAAATAAAAATTTTAAACTTTTGTTCTTACATTTAGGAAATGATCTGGGTAGGACATTCAAGATTATAGTGACTGATCTAGGCTATCAGGTTGAGGAATTACAATCTATCACATTAAATGTTCAGAAACAAAAATTCAGCTTATCACCAAGACCTTCTAACAAACGTTTCCAATGAAGTGACTGTTATAGTACAAATATATTCCTAGTTACTGAGTAAACAGCTAGAGATGATGGAGAGAAGGACATGAAGGAAAGAAAAAGCGAGAGAATCCCTTTAAACAAAAATATGAGTACTAAGTAGCTTGAGTAATTTTTATCCTTGTCATTTTCTTACCAACAATGCCAAGTCAAGTTTTCACTTACTAATTTCAAAATTATTTTAAATACAATTTTCAAAATTTCTTTGCAGAATACAATTACATCAATTTTACTGATTCCTTAAGGGACTTGTTGAATGTACTGCTAGTGTTCTTTCGTTGCCTGGGCAGGGGGGTGTTGTTTAGGGTTAGGGTTTTAAAACCATATATAATCACAGTTAACTTCTTCTTTGTTGTTTTTTGCTGGTATGGGGTCTTGAACTCAGGGTCTCATGCTCCCATTTGGCTTTTTCACTGATTAGAGACCAAGATCTCAACAATTTGTCTAAATGGTCTGGATCCAAACTGAGTCTCAGATCTCAGCCTCCATATTCCAAGGATTACAGGTATGAGCCACCAGTGTTTTGCAAGACAGTTCTATACAAATGAAATGAACCTACATCAATTATTTCCAGAAAGTCAACCTAAACTGTTGAGTATCCCTAGCATATTTAGTCTCTTTTCCAAAGATATTACCAAACCTAAGCTTGAAGCCTCAACAGCTGGGCACAGTGGTATATGACTGTCATCCTAGCTATGTGAGAAGCATAAATAGGCAAATCACTGTCCAGGCTTGCAAAACATATACAATGGCCCTATTCAAAAAATAAAGAAGGCTAAAAGGACAGAGGTATGGTTCACGAGGTAAAGCACCTTCCTAGCAAGTACAAGGCCTTGAGTACAAATCCTAGTTTAAAAAAGCATTTGTGCTAGGTAGTAAAGACAGAATAAAAGAGAAATACAGAAATGTTATAAATATGGTACATACATACAATGTAATACCATTCTGCCTTAAAAAGAAATTCTAACATGCTAAGCATAGTGAAGACATGGCGAGCAAAATAAGTCAGTCATAAAAAAGTAAATACTAAAGAAAAAAAAAAGTAAATACTACATGATTCTACTTGTATGAGGCATATACAAATGGTCATATCTACAGAGAAAGTAGAATGATGGTTGCCAGGGTTGAAGACTAGGAAGGAACAGGAATTCATAGCATTTAATGACTACAAAGTTTCAGTCTACAGATGAAAAAAAAAAGTCTGAAGATGGACTGGAATGGCAACATACTGTAAAGCAGTGTGAATATACTTAATGCCACTCAGGAGAGAGAGAAAAAGAGAGAGAGAGAGAGAGAATGTGGGTGTGTGAGGGAGGGAGGGAGATATGCTGGGGATTGAACACTCAGAGCCTGGCACATGCTAAGCAAATACTCTACCATTGAGTTCCATCCCAGTCCTGAATGTTAACTGTAACCCCCACCCATTTTTTTTTTGGTTGTACTGGGGTTTGAACTCAGGATTTCATAATTGCTTGCTAAGTTCCCTAGCACCTAAGCCAATCCTTCAACCTTTGCTTTGGTTAGTTCCGAGACAAGATTTTACTTTTTGACTGCACTGGCATGGACTGTGATTCCCCTATTTATACTTCCCACTGTAGTTGGAGTGATAATTTAATCATTATGTTTAGGTTTTTGTTTTTTCTGTTGAATAGATCTCACAAACCTTTTTTTGTTTTATTCCAGCTGGTCTTGAAGTATGACCCTCCAATCTCAGCCTCCTTTAAATGCCAGTTTAAAAAAAATTAATTCCTGGGCAACATTGTCCAAAAAGAAATATACTCATCATCTGACATATATGTAGCTGTTACCCCACTGTACATCACTTGTTTGTTTGATTGGGTTTTTTTTGCCAGTCCTGGGGCTTGAACTCAGGACCTGGGCTCTGTTCCTGAGCCTTTCTATGTTCAAGGCTACCACTCTAACCTTTGAGCCACAGAGCCTCTTCCAGTTTTTTTGAGTAACTCACTGGTGATAAGAGTTTCAGACTTTCCTGCCCGAGCTGCCTGTGATCCACAATCCTCAGATCTCAGACTCCTGAGTACCTAAGATCATAGACATGAGCCATTGGTGCCCAGCTACACATCACTTTTGTAATATTTTTTTCTAAAGATTCACAAAAAAATTAATTCCTATGGCAAAAGTATTTATATGCCTGTATGAAAATAGAACAGTGAAACCTGTTAAAATTTTAGAAGGGATGAAGGAGACAGAGAGGGGTTTGATCAGGATACAATATAATAGATGGGTGATGTTACAATGAGATCCTTTCCACCCCATACAACTACTATTTATAAAAATCTTTTTAAAAAGTAACTTTTAAAGAACTAGATGAGCTAGGCGCCAATGGCTCACGTCTGTAATCCTAGCCACTGAGGAGACTGAGATCTGAGGATCACAGTTCAAAGCCAGCCTGGGCAAGGAAAATCTGTGAGACTCTGATCTCCAATAAACCACTAAAAAAACCGGAAGTAGCACTGTGGCTCAAGTGGTAGAGCGCTCACCTTGAGCTGAAGAGTGCAGGGACAGCTCCCAAGCCCAGAGTTCAAGCCCCACGACCAACTAAAAAAAAAAAAGAACTAGATGACAAGACAGGCACTAGTAACTCACACCTATAATCCTACCAACTCAGGAGGCTGAGAGCTGAGAATTGTGGTTCAGACAAAGTTGGGTAGATTCTTACCTCGAACTAACCAACAAAAAGCCAGACCTGAATACATGGCTCAAGTGGTAGAGTGCCAACCATGAACAAAAAGGCCTAAAGAGAGCATAAAGCCCAGAGTTCTAATACCAGTATCCATACAAAAATTAAAAAGAAAAAGAAAAAGACCTAGATAGTCAAGCAATGGTGGCTTATGCCTATAATACTACTTACTTAGGAGGCTGAGATCTGAGGGTTGCAGTTTAAAGCCACCTGGGCAGAAAAGTCCATGAGACTCATTTCTAATAAATTACCAAAAAAGTTAGAAGTAAAGCTGTGGCTCAAATGGTAGAATACTAGCGTTTAGCCAAAGCAGCTAAGGGACAGTGTCCAAGCCCCTCAGTTCAAGTCCTGGGACTGGAGGGATGGGGGAACTATCATCAAGAAAAGTTCTAGCTGGGCCAGTGGTTCATGCCTGTAATCCTAGCTACTAAGGAAGCTGAGATATGAGGAATGCCATTCAAAGCTAGTCTGGGCAGGAAACTCTGTAAAACCCTTATTTCCAACTAACCACCAGAAAACTGGAAGTGGCATTGTGGCTCAAGTAGTAGAGTGCTAGCCCTGAGCTGAAGAGCTGTGGGACAGAGCCCAAGCCCAGAGTTCAAGCCCCATGACTAACAAGAGAAAAGAAAAGGAAGGAAAAGAAGGAAGGAAGGAAGGAAGGAAGGAAGGAAGGAAGGAAGGAAGGAAGGAAGGAAGGAAGGAAGGAAGGAAGGAAGAAAGGAAGGAAGGAAGGAAGGAAGGAAGGGAGGGAGGAATGAAAGAAGGACAGAAAGAAAGAAAGAAAAGTTCTAAGGAAGGGGAATTGGGAAGAAAAAAGCTGAGAAAATAAGGGAAGAAGTGACACTATTCAAAAAGAAACGTACTCATTACCTGACTTATGTAACTGTAATCCTCTATATATCATCTTTACAGTAAAAATTAAAATAAAGAAAAAGAAAAAAATTCTAAGTGCAGTAGGAGAGACAGATAAGAAAACCAATATGTTGGACTGGGAAGGTGGCTCAGTGGTAGAGCGCTTGCCTTGCATGCCTGAGGCCCTGGGTTCTATTCCTCAGCACCACATAAGCAAAAAGAAAAAAAAAGCCAGAAATGGCGCTGTGGCTCAAGTGGTAGAGTGCTCACCTTGAGCTGAAGAGCTGAAGGACAAGTGCCCAGGCCCAGAGTTCAAGCCCCACAACTGACCAAAAAAAAAAGAAAAAGAAAAAATACCTACGATGCTAATAAAACAATGGCATTTGAACTTAATCCTAATGGACAGGAAAATTTTAAGCATACACATGGTAAAATCAGATTTACATTTTAGAAAAATTACTCCAAGTGGGTCATATTGGCTCTGACTACAATCCCAGAGGCAAAAAACTACAGCTTGAGGCCAGCCTTTGCAAAAAGTTAGTGAGACCTCATTGCAACAAACATCTGGACAAAATTCAAACAGAAATTATGTATAATATACTCTCATGAATATAATTTAAACCTATTATACTTAGTACACATAATCTGGAGATGAACTGCTTAAATTCAAATCCCAGCTCAGTCATTTACCAACTAAGTGCCTCCATTTTCACACTGGCAAAACCAGCACACACACACACAAAAAAATCCCACCTTTTAGGAATGCCAAAGAACTACTTAAGATATAATATGTAAAGATTTTAGAACGGCATACACTAAACACTATATAAACATAACCTAGTTTACTTAGGTTCAAGACTTTGCTGTTTTCATGGTAAAACCTAAGGAGACTATGGTAATGGAATGATTTTTCTATAAGGCATTCTGTTTGAAGCATTCCTTTAACAAGTTTAACATTTCTTAGTTTGGTCTTCAATAATAAGCTATCTTTGTTGTACTACACACTTTAAGATGGCAGGACTGCCACTTTTAAGCCTCAAGGAAGGTAAATGCATAGTATAACAAACTATAAAGAAATATAACCTGCAATGACCGGTGGTGATACTTGAGTTGTCTGTCCTGTAACTGCTTTACTATTAATTGGTTTTGCAAAGATCAGCTTTGTGATCACTGGACCAGAGGTTGGTGTTCGAGGCTTCTTAGCAATCTGAAAAATATAAATAACTTTGAAGACTATTTGTTATTTAAAATACCTAGTCATTCAAAACTAGACGAAAGATACATACATAGTAGTACTTGTGAAACCAGCTCATTTAACCAATTATATACATTTCTTAAGGCTAAAACTGTTTAAAATGCAGCCATTCATAAAATACCAATATGGTCATATCCATAAGCCCAAATATACCAATACCTTTGCGTTCTTACTATAAAATAGTCTCTTGGAAATATCTATGATGAAAACCAAATTATTATTAACAATTTAATACTGAACTATAAAAAAAAGACACAGCAATATTAGTCTTAAAAACAACTTATTAACAAAAAGATTGAGTTAGGAAAGCAACAGTACAAATGACAAAGTAATCAACACAGACATATGTGTGATTACACTGGCCCCTGATCCAAAATACCAGCATATTTTAAAACAGACTGTTGATGAGATTTTCACTGTTAGGTCTCTATTTCATAAGTAGATAAAGGAAGAACTGAATTGGTCAAATCCTATGTTAAAGAGACATATCTGATAGAACAATGACTATTCCGAAGTGGAGCTGTGGCGCAAGTGGTAGAGCATTAGCAAGAGTTCTGAAACATTATTTACTAAAATAATGTTTATTACTCTTTAAATTCCTTGAAAGAAGGGTCTATATTTCACTCCTCACCTATCTGAAGTTACATTTTGGCATATTAATAACCTGAACTAAAATTCATTTCAAGGCAATGAAAGCAGAAGTAACAAAGTCTCTATATTGAAATTATCACCACAAGCTTCTGAAAGACAAAAGCAGAAAATCACCTATCATAAAACTCATAGAATTATAATCTGTAAAGTACATGAAATGTTAACTTCCTCTTTTGACAGATATAAAAACTGAGACTTGGAAGTACTATTAATAACTCAAATTAATATTACCAAAATAATGACAGAAACATACCAAAACCTGTAAACAGACCACAAAGCTAAATACCAGTTCTATGTACACAAATTGTAAATTAGTAGATTAATTTGCACTCATATACATGATTTTCTTATACTCACATGATAAGATGTATATGAAACACAAAATGAGGGAGAGGGAAAAAGGAAGAAAAATGAGGGAGGGGTTAACAAGTTAGACAAGAAATGTACTCACTACCAGACAAGAAATGTACTCACTACCTTACTCATGTAACTGTAACCCCTCTGTATATCATCTTGACCATAAAATTAAAATAAAATAAACATAAGAATAACAATTATAGGGGCTGGGAAGGTGGCTCAGTGGTAGAGCGCTTGCCTTGCAAGCCTGAGGCCCTGGGTTCGATTCCTCAGCACCATATAAGCAAAAAGAAAAAAGCTGGAAGTGGCGCTGTGGCTCAAGTGGTAGAGCGCTAGCCTTGAGCTGAAGAGCTGAGGGACAGCCCAGGCCCAGAGTTCAGGCCCCACAACTGGACCAAAAAAAAAAAAAAAAAAAAAGAATAACAATTATAGAACAAAAGAAATACAAAACACTTTTTAAAGAGGAAATCCATAAAAAATTAAAAATACCCTGCTTACAAAACTATGACATACCAAAGTGAATTCAAAATTATACTTTGGACAGAGGATATAATCCAGAGATACATACATCCCAAATGTTTGTAACCTAAAACTCTAGTTGGAATTTCATCTATTTACATAGTATTAATGATGCTATGGTGTTATGCTTTTAGAAGTACATATATAGATAGAAAATACTTCCACTACAAAAAGAGCTTAAAGTATTTCTCCCTTTTAAATTGACTTTCATATTCATATTCTTTCCAAATACTTACCAAAATGGAAAAATATAAGAAAGAAACAAAAACACACATTAATTATTCAAATGAAGTCATACTGTCACTGAGGTTGAATTTCTTCAGTGGAATATTGTTGAAAATAACAACTGCTAGTTCCATTAAAGAACCAAAATTTTTGCATTAAGAATTCTAAGCCAAGCTGGGCGCTGGTGGCTCATGCCTGTAATTCTAGCTACTCAGGAGGCTGAGATCTGGGGATCCCGGTTCAAAGCCAGCCCAGGCAGGAAAGGACATGAGACTCTTATCTCCAATAAACCACCAGAAAACCGGAAGCGGCACTGTGGATCAAGTGGTAGAGTGTTATCCTTGAGCTGAAGAGCTGAGGGACAACACCCAGGCTGTTCAAGCCCCATAATAGACCAAAAAAAAAAAAAAAGAAAAGAAAAGGAATTCTAAACTACCTTAGAACAAAATTCCTTTACTAAATAAAACCAAGCATGAGGACCTTTTTTTTTTTTTTTGGGTCCGGTCGTGGGGCCTGAACTCTGGGCCTGGGCACTGTCCCTCAGATCTTCAGTTCAAGGCTAGCACTCTACCACTTGAGCCACAATGCCACTTCTGGCTTTTTTCTTATTGCTTATGTGCTGCTGAGGAATTGAACCCAGGGCCTCATGCATGCAAGGCAAGCGCTCTACCACTGAGCCACCTTCCCAGCCCATGAGGACCATTTTTAAACAAATTTATCTAGCCAGCAGATTAAGGAGGGGGAAAAAAAAAGAGAAATAAAGAAAGGGAGCTAAAAATGTCCTCAAATAATTTATGTAAATAAGTTTCAACACTATGCTGGATAGATTCAGGAGCTAGTAAAGCGTTATGTCCCAGTGATTCATTCATTATTTACTGTTCCTGAACACCAGGCACACAGAATATGAGTAAATATAAATATCCCTATATACTTTACTGCCTGTGGTATCAGCACCTCTTTCTATCACTTTTGAAAATGGGTCTATTTTCCAGTAGTCCTGCTGGCAATACCCCAACAATCTCAAACATTCTGATTAAAGAAAACAGGACTAGCCGGGCACTGGTGGCTCACACCTGTAATCCTAGCTACTCAGGAGGCTGAGATCTGAGGATCGAGGTTCAAAGCCAGCCCGGGCAGGAGAGACCGTGAGACTCCTATCTCCAATAAACCACCAGAAAACTGGAAGTGGCGCTGTAGCTCAAGTGATAGAGGGCTCGCCTTGAGCTGAAGAGCTGAGGGACAGCGCCCAGGCCCAGAGTTCAAGCCCCACGACCGACAAAAAAAAAAAAACACAAAAATAGGACTATCTAGGAAAACAACAAGAGAATATTATTCAGCCCGGTGCCGGTGGCTCATGCCTGTAATCCTAGCTACACAGGAGGCTGAGATCTGAGGATCGAGGTTCAAAGCCAGCCCAGGCAGGAAAGTCCGTGAAACTCTTATCTCCAATAAACCACTAGAAAATCGGAAGTGGCACTGTAGCTCAAGTGGTAGAGCTCTCGCCTTGAGCTGAAGAGCTGAGGGACAGCGCCCAGGCCCAGAGTTCAAGCCCCATGACCGACCAAAAAAAAAATCTTTTTTAATAAATAAAATCTGGTTTTATAAAAGTAACAACAATAAAAACAAGTCATAAGAATTCAACCCCACTCTTAGCTTTTATTGTCATTATGAAGAAAATCATAGTTGAAAACTAGTAGGTACAAATACACCTGTGATTGAAACTGTATATGTGTGTGTGTGTGTGTATACATATATATACACACACATACATATATACATATATATACACACACACATAAACACACACACACACAGTGATCTTAAAAGTGAAAAATAAGACATACTGATTCTGTTATCAGTTTCTTATGAACATGATTATTATCCACATTGCAGAAGCCAAATAAACTCTGACAAACCAGTGAAAATAAGATTCAAAAGTTCAGAAAAGATGCTTTATGAGGATAGGATATCTCATTCAATAGTTCCTCAGCAAAAAAAAGTGGGAAATAACAATGAAGGAGAAGAAACGTGACACGCTAACTGTGGCAGAACGAACATGGGAAAATTACAAAGTTTGAGAAAACTTACACAGTTCTTAAATGCAAAGTCCATGAAAAGTAAATTTTGAATTCTTGCCCCAAAAGTAACCAAAACACTTCTAAATATCAGCTGAGAAGGGACAATTCTCCCAAACTTTCCCACTTCTTTACACACTTCCTTTACTAACTTTAAATCTGCCTTACTTTCTTCAAAAGGAAACCTTTCTAACAGGAAATGCAGTCTTAAGTGAATTATTGTATTTCTAAGAGTTAGTGGTAGCCTAAAAAGGCCATTTGGGGCATGAAAAACTAGAAACTAATATATGCTCTTCAAAAGTTCTATCTAGAATCCTATTCACAGTAATAAGAGGTAGTATCATTTTTAAAGTGTTTTAAGAACTATACAGTATTATTTCTTTCTTCAATGTTCAAATATTCAAAAGGTCAAAACTTCAGAGACATAAGCTACCCTGCACAGGTGGCAGGATAGAATGGGGTAACTTATGGCTAGTTGGCTAGGCTTTGGAGAACAAGGCCTATGTGTCCCTGTCTCTTTCCATATTACAAACATGAGTGATAGCAATGGATGTGAAACTGTAAATCACACACACACACACACACACACAGAGGCTACCCCACCCCATCCCCACACACACGGGCTACCACACACTATTGCTGCTCCAGGGTTTCTCAGGGCAGCAATCTTGTGAGCCTTTGATCATGAGTTAATCAAAACAATTTTTTTTTGTCTGAACAATTTTATGGAGCAAATCTGACATTTTTATACCAGCAACTCATCCATGTAACCAAACTATCATTAAGAATAAATAAAAACACATTTTGAAACAACAAAAGGCTATAAATAAAATAAATTTGGAATTTAACCAAATTTTAGTTTTCTCTAGGTTCTCTGGGAAAAAAATTCCATAAGCATTAGGCATATCAGACTTGAGAACAAGAACAAATAAGCCACACTTAAAGCAACATTCAAAAGAATTCAGTAACAGCTATGCAATTAATAACACATCTATGAACTAGTTTAATTTTTAACATGCATTTTAATTAGTAAGCCCCCTCTTTTTTTTTTTTTTTTACCTGTACTGTTTTTAACTGTTGGGTCTGTAACACAGAGGGCTGAGTTGTAGTATTAATCAGTTGACTTCCTGGGGTCAATGCTGAGACACCAATGACAGGTTTCACATCTGGCCTCCCTCCAATGGTAACTACTTTAATTTGCTGCGGTGGTAACTTAGCATCTCCTGACTGGGACTGAGTTGTAACTTTCTGAGCCTGGGGTAGTTGGCTATGGGGTAGTGCTAAAACAATTGGTGAACCAGACTTGCCCAAAGTTGTTAAAATTAACTTCTGTCCATCTGGTTTAAGGGTCTGATTGCCAAGTTTAAGATCAGATGACTGTGATACTTTGTTTAAAATAATCTGATTGGCTGATATAGTCACAGGAGTCTGAGCACCAAGTTTTTGAAGGCCACTTGGAAAAGCTGGTTTCACTGTGGTATTAGAATCTGCTTTAGTAATTGTGGTATTCACTGCAACTTGGTTAGTGTGGTTACTGTACACTGTGATTGATTCCGTGGAAATGGGCGTGGCTGCAGAGTCACCAGTAGAATGTATGTTGACAATTTCTTCCAGTTCTGTCTCCATAGGAATTGGGGATGAAACAATAACAGCCTCAATACTATCATCATCCACTAAAGTTATACCAGTGTCCATTATCTCCTCTGGAAGCAAACTATTCACCTCAGCTGGCACCACCTCCATGATCGTTCTCCTGCTACAAAGGTGATCAGGTGCTGTAATAAAAGTTGAAAATGAGTAAATTACTAGTTTTCAAAACAGATTTAGGAGAAAAAAAATCCAGAAAAATTCAAATAACAAAATAACCATTTTTAAAGGTGAAATCCAATTAAATGAAAGATATTCCTGGTGCTTATTTAGTTTAACCCCATTTTTAACTAATTCTTAGCTTCAAGAATCTAAAGTAAGCCATATGGAATGCAAAACCAGAAGCAAACATTCTTATGTATCATTTTCAACTCAAAGGCAACATCACATTCAGACAACAATGTTACAAAATCATTCCCAATTCTTTTCCATTGCCCTATCACAAAATCTTTTGGTCTATTGTTAGCCTGATCATCTTATTTCTTTCCAATGTTTCTCTCATTACAAGACTTGAAAACTGTCAAATTACACAAAGAAGGATTTAAATATCAACATCTAAGAAAATAACTTTAAATCTCCAATAATCCGCCGGGCACCAGTGGCTCATGCCTGTAAACCTAGCTACTCAGGCTGAGATCTGAGGATCGAGGTTCAAAACCAACCAGACAGGAAAATCGATGAGATTCTTATCTCAAATTAACTACCAGAAAACCATAAGTGATGCTGTGGCTCAAAGCGTACTAGTCTTGCGCAAAATGAGTGCAGGGACAGCGCCTAGGCCCTTTGTTCAAGCCACACAACCAATCCCGCCACCCAAAAAAAAATCAATTACAGTCAAGCCCCAATGAATCACACTTGTCATACTAGCTACTCAGAAGGCTGAGATCTGAGGACTATGATTAGAAGCCAGTAGGCAGGAAAGTCTGTAAGACTCATCTCCAATTAACCATAAAAAGCCAGAAGTGGAACTGTGACTCAATTGGTAGAGCGCTAGCCTTGAGCAAAAGAGCCCAGGGATAGCACCCAGGCTTCCAGTTCATACTCCACCATGCAAAGTGTTACAAGAGGAACTATTTAAGAAGTGTACAGCCAATCCCCTTGAATAAAATAATTATTTGACTTTTAGCCAAAAGTCATATAGGACGTCCAGTAAAGGAGTGAGTTCCATTGTCTTCATGTATTACAGTACATCACGTTCCTGATAGACTAAATAGCAGTAACATGTTACTGATCAGAGAACATCAAAGGTCCACAAGAACCTAATCAGCAACTTTTTCTTTTCTTCCTCTCCCAGCTCCACCCCCACATATAGACAGATTGCCTCAAACTCATCTTTCTTTCTCAGTCTCCTGAGTGCTGGAATTACAGCACTACCATTCTAATATTCAAAGTAACACTTATGAGTAACAAAGTATGCTTATTAACATTGGTAAATACTGTGATTATCACCAATGCTGAGCAGTTACTAACTACATTCTGTAGCATTGATGGCATAACTTAATCCTCATGACAATCCATTCTCATCTCCATTTTATGATGAAAACTTTAAAAAGGTTAAATAATAATTTGCCTAAGGTCATAGAGCTAGGAACGGTCAAATAGTTGGTTTGAGCCATGATTCAAATTCAGGTTTTCAAACCAAAGTTTACCATTTTAATTACGAATCATATTATTTTAAATTCTTACCACTTACCACTAGTGTTCCAAAGTGGGGGAAAAAATTATAATTAACTAATTATCCTGAAATCCCATCCTATACAACTACTGACCATCTCTAGTTTGGCCTTTTTTTTGGGGGGGGTCCGGTCATGGGGCCTGAACTCTGGGCCTGGGTGCTGTCCCTCAGCTCTTCAGCTCAAGGCTAGCGCTCTAACACTTGAGCCACAGCGCCACTTCAGGCTTTTTCATTTTGCTTATGTGGTACTGAGGAATTGAACCCAGGGCCTCAGGCATGCAAGGCAAGTACTCTACCACTGAGCCATCTTCCCAGCCCTAGTTTGGCCTTTTTGCTCATACTAAATATGTTCCACTGCCTATAGGATTCCACTTCATATAAGTGGAATCATATACAGATGCTCCTCAACTTATGATGGGGTCATAACCCAGTAAACCTATGATTCTTTACCTGATATATGATGTATTCGCATGCCTATGTGGTGGCGGGGGGGGTGGAGGAAGAGGAACAGAATCCAAGAAAACAGGGTGAAACAATACAGCAGTAGAGCACACTGAACATTGATGAAAGTGAACTATAACTTGTGGGTGGAGATGGGAAGAAGGGAATGGGAGAGAATGAGGAACAGATTACACAGTACGAAAGGAAGTGTACTCATTACCTGACTCGGTAAATGTAACCCCTCTATATATCACCTCTTTAATAAAAATAAATTGTTTTAAAAAAAAAAGTCAAAGCACACATAATACACCTAACCTACTCAAAGCATAGCTTGGCAAGACAAGCAATCACAGTCTTGTGATCACCTGCCTGACTAGGGAGCTGTGCTCAATACACTGCATAGTATCTAAAGGGATGATTGCAGAACATTATTGTTTGCCCAAGAAAAAAATCAAAATCCAATACCTTACTTTTATATTTTATACTTACATTTTTGTGCCATTATAAGGTCAAAAATCATAGGCAGCTGGGCACCGGTGGCTCAGGCCTATAATCCTAGCTACTCAGAAGGCTGACATCTGAGGGTCATGGTTCAAAGCCAGCCCAGGCAGGAAATTCCACGAGACTCTTGTCTCCAATAAACACTAGAAAACCAGAAGTGGTGCTGTGGCTCAAGCAGTAGAGCACTCGCCTTGAGCTGAAGAGCGCAAGGAGAGAGCCCAGGCCCAGAGTTCAAGTCCCACAACCAACCAATATATATATATATATATATATATATATATATATATATATATATATATATATATATATATATATATATATATATATCTACTGTAAGTCAGGGGCTTCTTGTGTTATATGATTGTGACATAAAATAATCACACAGCATGAGCTTTTCTCTCAGCATGTTTTTTGACATTTATCTTGATTGCTGCACTGACTAGAAGTTCTGAATAATACTGCAGACATTATTGTAGATAATAATCTACAATTTGTATATCCATTCACTTTAATAGGGATCTGAACTGTTTATATAGTTTAGAACTATAATGTATAATGCTATGAACCTGTTAGTATTTTTTTATTGCTTTTGAATAAATATCTAGAAGTGGAACTGTTGGGTCATAAAAAAGTTTATTTTTAAGTATATATGAAACACCCAAATTATTACATAATTACATTACATAATCTAAATACCCACCAATGAGTATGAAAATTCTAGCCACTCTATATGCTCATCAAAAATTAGTGTCATCGATGGGCTGGGAAGGTGGCTCAGTGGTAGAGCGCTTGCCTTGCATGCATGAGGCCCTGGGTTCGATTCCTCAGCACCCCATAAGCAAAAAGAAAAAAGCTGGAAGTGGTGCTGTGGCTCAAGTGGTAGAGCCCTAGTCTTGAGCTGAAGAGCTGAGGGACAGTGTCCAGGCCCAGAGTTCAGGCCCCACAACTGGGACCCAAAAAAAAAAAAAAAAACTTAGTGTCATCTTTTTAAAAAAATTATCACTTTGTTTTTGAGATAGGGTCTCTCTATGTAAACCCAGGCTGCTTTAAAACTCACAATCCTCCTACCTCAGCTGCCTGAATGCTGAGATTACAGAAATATGCCATCTTACCCTTTCTAAGGTTTAAACATTCTAATATATATGAAGTGATACACCATTGTAGTTCCTTCTCTTTTTGAGACAAGCTCTCATGAAGTTGGACTCATATTCTCCATCCATCAGTCTCTAGAGCACTCTGATTGTTGGTGTGTATCACCACACACAGGTCTTTTTCTTTGATCTTGTGTGTGCTTGCCTAGCATGTGCTCTATATTGAGTCACATACCCCCAAACCTTTCATTGTAGTTTTACTTTGTATCTCCAAGATGATTAATACCAAAGAACTTTTCCTGTATACATTGTCTACAGTGTATCTTCATTTAAAAAGTGTCTGCTAAAGTCTTTGCCATTTTTAAATACAGTTTTCAGTCTTCTGATTGAATTGGATGCAGTTACAATAACTTGTAGCTCAAAGAAATCACTACAGAGTCAGAATGCCAAAGTACTAAACCTTTTTTTTTTCGGGGGAGGGGATACTGGGGAGGGAGGAAGGCAGGTGGCTAGGAAGTAAACCCAGGGCTTTAGGCTTCCTAGGTAAATTCTATCTCCAGCCTCACTTCACAAATGACTCTTGATGAGAAGAATCCCCTTGGTTCTATGGTTATTCACTGTATAAGCATATGAAAACACCAACACTAATTATTCGTCCTTCTGCACTGAAAGCCAAAAAGGACTCTACCCAAGATGTCACACTGACTTGCCCTTATTTCACAGGTTACTTATACCCCTATCAGCTCAATGTGAGTGCTCCACAAATGTAATGAGGTAAGATGACACAGGTGCCTATATCCAAAACGTTTTACTCCTTCCTCTCTTTGAAGTTCTCCTAGCATATTTGGACACAGGTTTGGCCACTGGTCTTCTGCAAGGACAAGTTACTCAGCCCAATCTGTATGCATCTTTCTCCTTAAAGTAGAAATCAAGGAGCAGCAAGAAGGAAAAGAAAAATCAAGACACAGAAGAAGCACTCACCCTTTTTAGCTCAAATGAACTAAGATTTTCAACTCAAAGTTCTCTATTAAAGGACTGAAATCATCCCCCACCCCCACCCCCAAAGCTTTGAGGGCTTCTTCCTTTCTGGGTAGCTACAACCCCATTGCCTTTCAACAGAAGCCATCGAGTTTGGTATAGGCAACAACCACCAAAGCACCATCAATTATCCTGTATAAACCAAAACTTCTTGGTTACCAGCTAAGCCTCAAGATATTTTGTCTTCAGACAGAAGCTATGATTCACCTTTTTTTTTTTTTTTTTTGGTCGGTTGTGGGGCTTGCACTCTGGGCTTGGGTGCTGTGGCTGTGCTCTTCAGCTCAAGGCCAGCACTCTACTGCTTGAGCCACAGCGCCACTTCCAGCTTTCTAGTGGTTTATTGGAGCTAAGAGTCTCACGGACTTTCCTGCCTGGGCTGGCT